GACAAGCCAGGATGCCGCTGGCCCTCTTGGCCACCTGGGCACCCTGCTGGCTCATATTCAGCTGGCTGTCAACCAGTACCCCCAGGTCTTTTTCCGCTAGGCAGCTTTCCAGCCACTCTGCTCCTTTCCCTGGTATTTCACAGACCAAAGGTTTGGGTCCATCTCCAGCTGGAGCAGATTCTCATTGACTGTGACCTTGGGAATGGGTATGCAGACCCCCAAGTCTCTGCTGACCCTGCAGCCAAAGCCGGCACCTCCATAGCCCAACCCCATGCGTGAGGGGCAGTAGCCATATCGCAGTAGGTGACAGCCGCTGATCGCTAGCTTGGGGTTGCAGCCTGCATTGCCACCAAGGCTTCTGCTGCTGAAGCATCCCGGCCTGGGGTACCCCACACCATGGTACCCCACACCACCTCCTCTCTGGCATGAGGCGGTGCTGACAGCATCTCTCTTCACACTTCTTGGGATCACAGCAGAGCAGGAGCTGAGACTCCTTGTGCCCCCAGCTCTGCAGCAGATATGGTAGGACTGGCAAGATGTTGAGACCAGCTCAAAGGGGAATGAAGGCAGAGGGAGAAGCTGAATGCAGGAGGCAATGCACGCAAGTTGGCCTGGCCAGAAACCCTCTGCAATGAGAAGCAGAGCTTTCACCTTCTTACGGCCCAGGAAAACAGTTTTTGGCTGCATGACCAGCCCCAAAAGACCATTTTTAGAGATGTTTATGAGCTTAGGTTGTCTCTTTTGCTGAATAGTGACCTGAGCTGCTTTTCAGCGCACACCTATCATTCAGTTATAGGCTGTGTTTCTAATTTGAATGGGAGGGAATCCCTGGTCCCACAGAAACTGCATTTGCAGCCCTCCCTTTTTTTATAGTAAGCACGAAATAGAGAAGCAGAACCAATCTTTTGATGTTTGCAGGGCACTGGGAGTGGGGGAAGGAGCACTGGGGTTTTTTACATGTGGGAAGAGAAGAATCTGAGTTAAACTCTTGGGAATATTTTAGGGATCCAAACAGCGGGGCTGATTTGGTTTGGTATTATATTAGGCTTTAGCCAGAGTTGCTCCTTTTGTAAGCTTAATTCAATTTACTCCTTTCTTTCTTTCCTTGGACCTCTGTAATTTTGTTAGCCTCAAGAGAACAATCTTTTAATTCTCTCAGGACAGGAGATGGACCCGTGCAAGTGTATTTCTTGGTGCTAGGGCTCTGCTGGTCTCTTAAGTACAGGCAGAAAACGTGTGCAGCAAAGGGGGTTGTGGACCAGGAGAAAGCAGTGAAAGATTTTCCAGCTCAAACCTTTGCACCAGCCAGGGAAATCCAAAGCTGAAGGTTGAATAGATCAAGGTGATTGTGGAGTGAGCGCACTGACCCTGCAGAGAGAAATTGGCTGCTCTGTCTCTCAAGCTACCCATGTGCTTCTCTCCTTCACTGAATGCCCCGAAGAGGGAGTCTGTTGGTTTCCCCAGTTTTGGGGGGAGCGTGACGGACAGCGGTCAGATAGATTGACACCTCTCATCTTAGTGCTCGCAGAAGTGTCTTCCACGGGGAAGAGCTTACAGGAGAGCTAGGCTTGGTCATTCCTTTCTGGCAAGATTGTTTGGCGAACCTCTGTGAATGTGACTTTGGACTATATATCTATTTATTTTTCGGCAGAGGAGGTGGGTTCAGAGTGACAAAGATGCAGGAAAGGCAGATAAGTCTTTCCTAGAAAATGAATTAGGTGATTTTCAATCCCATCTTTGCTGAAATACAGAAAGGGCCATGTGCCATGGGTGGGAAGCCTCTTAATTCTTTTGCCTCCAGCGGGATAACACTGAGGGCTTAGCGCTGAAGATCTCGGCCTTTCCTAAAGGTGCATTTGCTTTTATGTGATTTTCTTGGCATTCGTCGTGGCCTGAGAACATGTTCTGCTCCATGAAGAGGGTCAGAGAGAAGTCCATGCGTGCAAGCCTGAAAGCTGGCCTGCCTCATTTAGCTGTGCAACGTTTTAGGGTAAAGCTGTGTGGGAGTTGTATGTGCTAAGCACTTTTTGGGACTCAGCCTAAAAGGATTTCAGAGAGCTCAGCATCTTTCATGATTGGGCCTTGGATGCTGGAGAACAGCTGCTACATGTGATAGTTGGCGTCTTCCATGAAATGGAAGAAGTCATGTTGGCTTCTTTTCTCGCTTTCTCTCTCTTGGGTTTTTAATTACAGACCTGAGCAGAGGTCAGTACCGCCAGCTTGTCTGAGCCAGCCCAGCTTCGATCTGCTGACCCAACAGAAACCTCAGCTCAGGAGCATCACGCTGCCGGGGATCGCATCCTTGTTTAGCACTTGGCCTGACAGCTTTGTTGGTGGCTCCAGAGAGGGGATGGAGATAAATCCCTCCTGTTTTCCCCGCACAAGCTGCAGGTCTGGACCCGGCCTTTCAGAAGTTAAGCTCTGAAGCATGGGATCCATCTTTCCTGACTTGAAAACACCTTTTGGAGTGTTCCTGCAGTGCAGACATCTTCAGCCAACTGCCTAGAGTGCTTTCAGTCCCACGGAGGGAGGGAGGTGTTACGGGGGAATGAATTGTTTGACCCAAAAGTGTCTGTTTCTGTCCTTTGGCTGGCTCTGGTGTAGGTGTTTATGGCCAGGTGCAAACAGCCCCACCTTCTGGTCTTGCTCTGTTGGCTGTGCAACTTGGAAAACCTTCCAAAGTGCTTGGGTATTGCCGCTCGGTGACCCCTGTCTCCAATACTCTTAATATTCCCCCTCTTCTCCAGGACTGAGATGGGGAGGAGGAGGATGTGGGAAGGCTCTGAGTGACAGCAAGGGGCAAATCTTCTAAACCTTATCCTAGAATTACACCTGTAGGTGAATTTTGTAATGGCATAGAAAACCCACATGGCTTGTAAGTTTGATTGCAGTTTATTGAAGAAATTTCATAAAACTCAGACAGTCCAACAGGAGCAGAAGAAGAGAGGAAAGGAGCTCGTTACATCTGGGCACATAATTCCCCAACCCCCCTCTTTGCCTCCCTCCCTCTTCCATAAAAAGAGAAGAAAAAAAACCCCAAGCTAAGAACAAAGGCACTAAACCAGTGATGCTTTTCCAGGTTATGTAAAATTCATGCTATGAGATCTCGCTGTTCTTCCTTTTTGTTTTTCCTGTATTTTTGACCCGTCTCCTCTTTAAGCTCACTCTGGTCTGGTGGGAAGGAGAATGGTTTGCTGCTGAGACCTGTGGGTTACATGGTCTTTTGGCTTAAATGGTTTGTACTGGGAATTGGGCATCAGAGAGAGCCAACCCCTTTCACCTGTGGAAAATGAAGGCTGCATTTTTGCATCTAGGTAGAGCTAGAGAGCCCTGGAGTGAAATGACAGTAATGCAAGAGGATTTGGGGAACAGAGCAACTGCCTCTGTGTTGAAAGGCGCTTTGGTTATGATTCTTCAAGCCTTTGGGGAGAGCAAGCCCAGCAGTGGGGAGCAGGGTTGATAGGGGGGAGCACAGGGGACTGTGGTCTCGACACACCTCCTGCTTTCTATCATAAACGGGTGAAGGGACACGTTCTGCTTTCATGTACACCGGCATAAATCCAAGTCCTGCATCTGCTCTGGGTTTGCCCCAGGGCGCTGGAGTAACAGGGGGCATTGGAGCAAAAGGGAGCCCTGGGAAGCTGCAAGCTGCACTCTAACGATGGCACTCTTTAATGGAAAAGCTGATTACTCATAGACAAGCAGCGCTGGGCTTCTGGTCAGGTGGGTGAGGCTTTGTGCAGAGGAATTAATTGGAGAGAGGCATCTCTCCCAAGCCAATAAGTAGTTCTGGGAATATGTTTTCCCCTAATGGGAAAGTGGTAAGTGTGGCACTTTGGATAGTGTTAATA